AATAAGAGTGTGTTTGAAACTATCTCGGTTGTTTACTGGCCTCATGGTTTTCACTTCCCCGTTCTGAGTCCCCGCAACAAAGAGACTTGGATCTGTGGCCTTCAGCAATTGATAGGAAAGCCAAGAATTCTGCCCTGAATCTCTGTCCACTGCCACAACTTTGGTGACCAGGTAGCCTGTCTCTGCCCCCCTGGGAACAAGATCATTTGATGGAGAAGTGCTGTTCTGAAGTGGGCAGAGGATGAAGGGGGCGTTGTCATTTTCATCCATGATGTGAACTCGGACCATTGTTTCTGAGCTCAGTGGAGGTGAACCTTTATCTACAGCCTTTACCATCACCTGGAAATCTTGCATATCCTCATAATCTATAGATCGAATGGCATATAGGTTCCCAGTTTCAGAGTTGATGGAGATATAAGACGATGCGGGCCCTTCCCTGATCTTTCCAAGCAAAAGCGAGTAGGTCACTTTGGCGTTTTGCCCTGCATCCAGATCAACCGCATGGACTGATCCGATGAGCAGACCTGGAATGTTGTTTTCACGTAAGTGGAAATCATAGAAAGATGTTTCAAATACTGGTAGGTTGTCATTAACATCTGAAATTTGAATGTTAATAATTCTCATTGAACTGAGTCTGGGGGAGCCTTGGTCAGTGGCTGTAATGGTAATGTTATATTCCAATACTTGCTCTCTGTCCAATGGCCATTGGGTCACAAGCTGGTAATAATTGTTCTTTGTGGGTTTTAGAATAAAGGGTAGGTTTGAATCAGTGTAAGACTTGCCATTATCTCCAGAATCTCTATCTGTGACACTGAAGACAGCCACCGCTGTTTCTGGTGGAGACTCTTCTGGTAAAAGGTTAGTTACAGATGATATGATCACTTCTGGGGTATTATCATTGTCATCTTCAATATTCACCTTACAATAAGCAGAGTCCTCCTCCATCTGTGGCGTTGATGTTCAGTTCATAATTACTGTTTTCTTCATAATCAGTTGTTCTTTCAAGAATAAGTTCTCCAGTATTTCTGTTTAGCTTAAATGATCTGAATACTCTGACATTTGTCTGAAAGAATATGAGCATTGGATCCAGTGTCTCTGTCACTGGCTTCCACTTTAGTAACAAGGGTATCCAACTGTTTGTTTTCCCTTAATTTCACTTGGTAAACTGTTCAAAATGAGGACAGTTATCATTAATGTCTAGAACAGCAATAACTATTTGTGTTGTACCAGCTCTGATTGGAAAGCCTCCATCTACAGTTGACACCATCAGAATCAACTGTGAAACATTCTCACAATCTAATGGTTTCTCCAGTACCAATTCTGCATATTTACTACCATCACTGTTGTTTTGTACATCTAGCCTAAAATATTCATTAGGACTAAATATGTAGTTCTGAACAGAATTTTCTCCTTTGTCTGAATCTTCAGCTTCTTCCAAGAGCAAATGGGTGTTGGTGGAAACCAGTTCAGGTAATTCAAAAAAGAATTCTTTGGAGAATTTGGGGGAGTTATCATTCACGTCTTCTATTTCAGTGTCAATTCTGTATAGCTGCAATAGATTTTCTAGCACAATTTCAGAGAGTAGAACACAAGGGTCATTCTGACCACACAGAGCCTCCCAATCAATGTTATTCTTTACTATCACATCCCTGGTATTAGGATCCAGATGAAAATATTGTTTGGAACTCTGAGATCTCAGCTGGGCTTTTCAAGAAGAAAGCTCCTTGACATCCACTTTCAAATCTTTTAATATGTTATCTATCAAGAATCCGGTTTTCGTTTCCTCATGTACTGAATACATAATAGATTCACAGATTGCTGCATACATGCAGAAATAAAGAAAATAAGTTAAAACTTGCCTGCTATTGAGATACATTTCCATTGCTCACCTCAAAGCAGGTGGTTCAAACAGAAGGTTTCTAGGTTGTCCTTTTGTCTGTTTTGTCTGTCCAGTTTTTATTTTTTAAAATAGGGTTTTCCTCCTCTCATCTGTGTTGATTTTTTGAAACAAAGTTCTGCTGTCTCTTTGTTGCTGTTGTCTTATGCCATTCCTTTTGCCATCTGGCTACAATTCCTTGAGAGGGCAGGAACTGCCTAATCTTATATTCTGCCTTGTATGATAGCACCACCTTGTGCTTGAGTTGGGTACAACTTCCATAAATACTGATCCACACAGAAACACCCTTTGTAATAAAAGTTTTTATTAAATTGCAATAATTATTCAATTATATTTCTCAATTTAACTCTTTTAATATACAAACTCACCAACAATAAGCAATGTGGCCTCCAGAAAGGAACCGAATAAGTTGTTTAAATATAAGAAACTTCATAGCATTAACTCAATACCTATTTAATGACCTGTATCCAGTCTTTCAACTAGATTTGTGAGGCTGGGATATTCAGTTCAGTTAATGCATAAAATGGTCATCAGTACCAAGCTCCCTTCCACAGCCCAGATCCTAAAAATCAGCACAAAATGCTGCCCATAGGGGTTTTTTTGGTTAAGCTTGGGAGGTACTGAAAGGTGTACCACCAATCCCCAAGCATTGAAGACTATAGGTGAGGTTGCCATCTGCCACATTTCATGTGATGAAGTAGGGGTATTACCAAATTGTAATTTAGGAGCTTTAATATAGCCCATTGTCAGTGCCCATGAAGTTCCTAGTTCCCACCTTGGGGGAGAAAATGTAGCAACTAGGTCGTGATATTGCAAACTCCTGGCTGTGCAGTCAGGCAGGAAGATCACAGCAGCTGTCATTACTACTGAAACAATGTGAACCCCCAAACTCCTTCAAAGAAGTGTAAACTCATCCAAAGCAGGTGCAAGATTATCCAGAGAGGAAGAAATGAGTACTAAAAGAAGTCACTTTCCCATCATTACTATTTCTGAGAATGTTGCATTCTCAGAAAATGCTGCCAATCTTTACTATTTTTTCAAGCCCTACAAGCATAAAGACAGACAAGTGGTCCTATGAGAAAACATATTTTGCAGAGCTCCTTTTCAGAAACTCATGTCATTTCCAAAATACTATGTTCCCCTGCTTTCTTACCCCAACCCCCCTTTCAAAAACCAGTCAGAAGTCCATGCCCAGTTTCATTAGGCTATTTTTAGGCTTTTAGAGAATTTTCATAATTTGTAAAACCTTGCAGCTGAATGGTGCCAATCGATGACTACAGAAATACTGAAACGTGGAGAAATAAATGTATTGCTAATATATATGCTGATAATTTGGTATTGATGAGAAGACACATAGATACATGTATTGGGAAACCAGGGAAATTCTAGAATATGTTGTGATGCTGATTTCGTATCTGTATCTGTCTTATCACTAAGTTAAATTGCTAGGTGTTTCTGTAAATCGATAGTGATCAATAATTTAATACACCTTTCTCATATCAGTCCCCCACAAAATTTCCAGGTAACAAATCCTTTCCCTAGAATGAAAAGTTTGGTGGTGATGCAGTTGGCTCCTGACAAGCGAAGCATACAACCAACTTGTTAGTAGGTCAGTGTGAATCCTGGAAGTTGGATTTCAGCTATGAGAAAGCAGGATCATAGAGGTGGAGGAAGCCAGCTAGGTCATCAAACTCAGTTTCATGTTCTGTGTAGGAATCCAAAGTAAAATTTCCCCAAAATGTGTATTTAGCTTCCACTTTAATACCTCCATCAACTCTTTAGGTAACTGATTCCAATGTCAAACTGCTGTTACTATACTATACTATACAATTTTTTCTAACATTCAATCAGAATAATTCATCCTCTAACTTAAATCCATTATTCCAGAACCTGCATTATGAGGTGATACAGAAGTCATTTTGACTTTCCTCTGTGTGACCTTTTTTCAGGTACTCAGAGTGTTTACTCCATCTTCCCTCAGTAATCTCTCTTCAAGGCTAAATGTGCTCAGCAGTTTCAATCTCTTCTTAATTTCTAGTCCTCTGATCATCTTTGTTGCTCTTCTCTAAGCCTAGTTCAGTTCATCCAAATATTTCTTAAAAGTGTGATGCCTAGAACTGGATGCAGTACTCAGAGCAGGGTCTGAGAAAATGTAGAATAAAGTGGAACAATTTGTATGGTTTGAAAAGTATATTTCTGTTCACGCAGCCTAAAATTGCATTTGGTTGTGTTTTTTTTGCATTCACAATCCATGCTGATTTGTATTTAGTTTGTAATTAAGTACTGTTCCAAGATTTTTTTACAAGTAATATTGCCAAACCAGGAATTTTCCCATTTTACACTTATGCATTTTAAGTGAATCTTTTGCATCTGCCTCTGTTAAATTTGATTCTGTTATTTTCAGACCATTTTCCTTATATAGCAAGATGGTTTTGAATTTAATTTCTTTCTTCTAGGGTATTAGTTATCCTACCCAATTTTGCATTAGCTGAAAATCCATTAGGTATTCTCTCCACTACTTCATTCAAGACAATAATAAAAATATTGAAGAGTTCAAGGCCTAGAATCTAATCCTGTAGAATATCATTCCTTTTGACAAGGAATAGTTGATATGCACTCTTTCAATAAAGTTCTCAAGGCAGTTATGGTCCGGGGGCCTAGCCAGCCAGATACCATGTCATCTAGCCCACATGTAACTTTGTTTGTTTGTTTGTTTGTTTGTTTGTATATATTTCAAATTTAGATACCACCCATCTCACGAAGAAGTGACTCTGGGCGGTTGCTCATTGGGATGTTCTGGGATATATTGTCAAAAGCTTTAGTGCAGTCATGATATATTATTCTATAGCATTCAGGCAACCCCTAAGGAAATTGCCTGATCAAAAAGTGAGATAAGGTTAGTTTGGCAAGACATGTTCTTGACAAATCCATGCTGACTTATAGATCTCCAACTTTATGACCTTCTTTAGAATCTTCCCATTTATTGATGTCAGACTTCTGAAGTTCACTGTTTAGCATGGGCAGATCTCCCACTTTTAAATCTCAGGCGATTCCCACCTTATACTTTGTCCCAACTGAAAGCTAGCATTCAGCTGAATATAGGAGCATGTACTCCACTGATTTACATGTCTGTGGAACCTGTTCAGGGTCCATGCTGCTGTTTGTAATATAACAGTTTCCTTAAACCAAGTTACTGATACTTCTTGACTGGGCAATAGATAGATGATAGGTAGGTAGGTAGGTAGGTAGGTAGGTAGTGCTACAGTCCCTCTAATTCTAATGGAAGAGAAGGAATTAGTAATGTGATGCACTGTAGTTTAAGGACAACATAACGGATAATTTATCTATGTGAACAGGACATATATTTTCTGCAAACAATAAAAACGTATGAGATGAGGAATGCCAATTATATTCTTGCTCTCACTGGTGTTACAATGTACTTTAATCCTTGAAACACATCCTTGTATAACATCTATAACTGCCATCTAATAAAAATGTTATTTGTTCTAGTTGATAATGTGTTACATCCTAACCTGGTTTGGCCAATATTGCAAAGTCTTTGTTGGAGATAGGTGTGGTTACCAACAGTAGGTTATAGAAACATTTTTTCCCTGTATGATTGACTTAAGTTGTTTATTCAACATACACCAGTTGAGTGTCAGGTTTGGCCAGCACGGGGCTTCAGGGAAGCTCGCAGCCAGACCACGCAGAATCCACCGGCGGTAGCTAGCGGGGAAAAGAGGAACTGAAAGCGCCGCTAGTTAACG